TTTCCCATCTGTGTAGCACATCTTCCATTTCAGGGAATGAAGGAGCAACTCCACAGGTGGGTGAGGGTGCTCTGGTGGTCCCTGACTCATACCAGGACAGATGGTGGGCAGTTTGTCAGCTCCCTCCTTCCCTGTGCTGAATCCAGGCACCTCCTAGGGGGGACCAGGCTGCCAGCTGGGCCCTTCCTTTGCCAATTGGAGCTTGTGCTGGGGCCTCACCGGAGGGGCAGCTGTTCCTGAGGATGCCCCTGATTCAGGGAGGACTGGTTTGCTGAGCTTGCCGCTCAGTAATCTGGTTTGGTTTGCCCTTAGCTTGGTCTTGCTGCTGCAGGGTTCCCTTTCATCCAGTGCTGCCTTCCCAGCTGGATTGTCTCCTCTCTCAGCACAGGATCATCTGCTTCTCCCTAGTTCCCATTTCAGGGCATCTTCAACTGCAGTTCTGCCAAGTCAGCGTGGAGTGCCTGTTGTCACTTGCAATGTCCTTGATTGCAAAGAAGAGAGTGACAAGAAGTCAGAAAAATAACAGGGGGGCTGGAGAAATGCTGCTGCTGAGGACAATTCCCTAAATGCTGTGCTGGCCCAGCCGGTACCGAGCACTGCCCCGTGTGCCTGCAGGGCCAGCACAGCTACTGCCCTCGTGCCTGTCCTCAGCAATGCTCTGAGTCGAGCAGAGCTCCTTGGTAGGAGATGCCGTGGACCTGAGCGGTGGCCACCAGTCTGGCCATGCTCCTGGGTCCTGCTAACCAGGCTCAGGATGAGGTGGAGACTCCAAGGAGCTGCTCCTGCCTTGGATTGTGCCGGTCCTGGGCCAGCCCCGCTGTGCTGCACCTCCAGAGGTGACTGGGAAGCGAGTCATGGATCTGGGTGGTGTTCAGGGACAGTGGAGGTGGGCCTGAGGATGCTGTAGGTACCTCTTGCCAGCAGAAAGGGCTGTTCTGTGTTGAGGGCAGTGGGAAACACCTTCAGCAAAGCCCAGGGGGATCCCAGTCCTGAGAGCTCAGTCCTGCAGAGATGCTGTGGGGCTTACTGGCACCATTCAGCTTCTTCCTTGTCAGCACAGGGCTGACAGTGAGACTGTTCTTTAGAGGGAAAACACACTGAAGAGGGGTATGCTTGATTAACTCTGTCCTGCCCTGCTGCCTCTCTACCACTGACTGCAGCTCCTCCGTGTAAGGGGAAAGAAAAAGCCTGTTGCTGCCTCAGTGAGCTTGTATCAAATTTGTGACAGGAGAGGGGTGTGTTTTGCTCCCCCAGATACACAGTCACCAAGGCAGTTCCTGCTCCTGTGCAGAGACTGCAGCTTTGGAAATGATTTGGAAGATGCCAAAGCCAAAACAGGAGTAAAAACCTCCCTAATGACCTGGGAGTGCATTAGCACAGTTCTGTTGTCTCAATTTTTGCCCTATCAGCACACAAATGGTGCAGCTGGAGCAACATTCTGTCCTTTGGCCTCTTGGTTTCTGCACTTGGAGATGGTCTTTTCAGGTATGTCCCCCCCTTTTCATGTTGCCTACTATGAAACCTCCTGATTGCTTCTGATTTTCTTCCACCAGGGAATTCTCTTGGTGTACGACATCACTAATCGCTGGTCCTTCGATGGGATAGACCGATGGATAAAGGAAATAGATGAGGTAAGGGAATGGAAGAACATGTGCAGGGATCTACAGCAGAAATCTGGGGAGGTATCACCCGAGGTGTCACCTCTGATATGGGGACAGGAATGGCTCTGCTATGGAGGGGACACAATAGCAGTGCAGTACCGAGCAAAGTGATAAGTGCCTGCCCTCCACCTCTGTGTAAATCTGGAGTAGTAGGAAAGGGCTTGGGAATGGTCAAGAAAGGTAGGAAAGTTCCCTCTAAAATCACAGAACCACAGAATGTGCTGAGCTGGAAGGGACCCACAAGGATCATCCAGTCCAACCCCTGGCCCTGCAC